TTGTCAGAAGGGACCATTCCCTGGTGAAGGATGTCATGCATCGTAAGATGGAGGGTCAACAAAAGATGGGAAGGCCCTCAACGAGCCAACAGTGTCGGCTGCCGCAATGGGCTCAAGTATAGCAGGGATCGCGGAGCTGGTGCAGGACCGGGTGGTGTTTTGTTCTGCTGTGCGTAGTTTGTTATGAGTCAGAGACCACTCAACGGCACCTAACAACAAGCTTTATATATATATGTATGTATATATATAGGTTTTGGATACAAGTTCTTTATCAGACGTGATTTGCAAATATATTTCTCCCATTTTGTGGATTGGTATTTCCTTCTATTTTTAACCTGTGTCTTTTAGAAGATCTTGGTTTTTCTTTTTTTAAATTCAATGAATCTCTTAACTGGTGAGTTTAATCCACTTACACTATTTTCCACATGGACAAATGCATTGGATAACCCATCAGTTTTTTCTCTGGAGCTCTCCATCCTGATCCCTTATTGCCCTGCTCCAATCTGAATGAATGCTCTCTGGCCCTGCTACTAAGTTGTTACCTGGTCTTGATTTCTGTTCTCTTGTCTTCCTTGGTTTACTCTCTTAATTTTTGCCAAGTGCATCTTCCTCCAGTAGTCTTTGAAAAAAAAAAGCTACATGTGAAGTAAAGTTTGGGATCCTATATGTGTGAAAACGTTCTTAACTTCACATTTCAAGGGTTTGACTGGCCAAGAACTATAAAGCATGTATCTACTGAAATTCAAATGTTTGTTTCTTGGGTTGAGTTAATGAGTTTGGTTAGCAAGGGATACTGAGTTAGCTGAATCAATTTGGTTTCTGAGTTTCATAGCACAAGTAGGGAGCCTTCTGTTTAGTAAGGGATGTATCAAAAAATTTATCCTAATCTGTTTGTTTCCCGAGGTCGAAAAGCAGAGTCCAGATAGGCAGGAATTGGTCCTTAGAACTTAATCTTCCACCTTTGGCATCTGGATTTGCTAAAGAGAAATTGAGATGGCTAATTTTAGGCGTCAGCTTGGGAGGCTATGGTATCCAGTTATTTGGTCAAATACTAGTCTACATGTTGCTAATGAAGGTCAATGTGTGATTAGCATTTAAGCCGGTTATCTTCAGCTAAGCAGATTTCCCTCCATAATGATGGGCCTCATCCATCAGTTGAAGGCCTTAAGAACAAAAACTGAGGTTTCCTGAGGAAGGAGGATTCTGTTTTAAGACTAAAGAGACAATACCGCAGGAATTTCCAGCCTGCTTCCTGATTTGCAGGGCCCACAATCATGTGGGCCAATTCCTCAAAATAGATCTCCTTCTATGTATGTATCGTTCTGGTTCTCTCTAGGGAACCATAACAGAGGTGACTAATGCAAATGTAATTCTTTTTTCTCTGTCATTTCCCCCTTCTTTAGGACTCTTTTTTTCCCCTCACATGTACAATTTAGTGACATTGATTATATTCTTCAAGTTGTGCAACCAATCTCACCCACCTTTTCTGAGTTGTTCCTCCTGTTAGGCAGGCAGGCAGGACAGGAGGGCTGCCCTGGGGTAGGCCCGAAGGGGGTTGAAAAGGGAGAGAGGTGGAATAATGTAAGAAGGTTAATTTTACAGCTTAACACCTATAACCACTTGAAACCGCCTGTGAGATTTGGCCAATTAAAATTAAGCAGAACCACCACAGATCACAGAATATTTGAGGAGGTTAAAGAGCTAACACCTGCAACTGCCTGCAACTGCCTGTGATATTTGGCCAATTAACCAGGGTCACAGGACCCTGACTTAAGGCCCAGCCCAGCCCAACTTAAGAATGCCCCTTTCAGGAAGTATGAAAACCAGAAGAGAGCCCGTTTGGTATCTTTCCCATTCCAGGGGAAAGACCCGTCTCTACTCTTCTGAAGACACCCCTTGCTTTTAATGGCCCTCATTTGCAGAGAGAGGTCTGTTCCCTCTCTGCAACATACTTTGCTTTTAATAAAGGCTTGTGTGCTTATGTGACTGGCATCTTGTGAACAAGTTTGTTAAGTCTCCGCCGAATGCCACTTCCTCTCACGGATTGCCTGGGACTGCTGGCCCACGGATCACTCACTTGTGGAGGTTCTTCCCTCCAGCAGGGTGAGGACCAGGAAGAGGGCTTCTTCACCCAAGTAACACTGCCTCATTAACATAAACTCACTGCCCCTAATTCCTATCTAATCTTTCAAGTCATTTCTGTCAAGTTAATTCCATATAGTTCTTAAAAAAGCATAATGCTTAAGATAAATTTTTTTTTTTTTTTTAACTGCTAAGCAAAACTATTGTTCAATTTTAAGATTACTTCAGGGGATATTTTTGGCTTAAGGTTTAAAGAGTCTCTCAGGACAATAGTTTCATCCACTCTCCCTAGCTCCAGAAAGTCTAGTCTGTGAGAATTTGAAATTCTGCTCTGCATCTCCCCGCTTTTAATCAGGATTCTTCTATGAATTCTTTGATCAAAATATTTAGTAATGGTAGCTGGGCATCATACAGTTCTAATCTTAGGGCAAAGCAGGCAGTTGTTCATGGAGGCAATTAACCATACATTCCATACCTTCCATCTGTTCCTAACTCTTCTTCTTCCTGTGTTGTTCCAGGTGAATACTGACCAATTCTTGTGCCTTGGATAGCCCCCTGAAAGCTTTTAAGACCCCAGGCATTAAGCAACTAAGAGATACAACAAAAATACTAAACCTATTATTAGGTCAATTAACTGGGATGTCCCTTGAAACCTTGACTGAACTTCTAAACCAAGGAACCAAATCCCCTGAGGTGTTTTGTTGTAGATAAGCAGCCTCAGTAGCTACTTTGTGTGTGTGTGTGTGTGTGGGGGGGGTCTTGTTGTAAACATATCACACAACTTTTGCCAACTGAACTTTTTCTTTGGTATCTTTTACCCCCTGGGTAGTGTAAATGGTTAAGGGCTTAGCAACTAACTGAGAGGCTGGCAATTCAAATTCATCCAGAGGGGTCTTAAAAGAAAGTCTTACTTCCAAAAGATGACAACCATGGAAACCCTATGAAACACAAGTTACCATGATTCAGAACTGACTTGATGGCAATATATTTGTTTTTGAGGGGGAGAGGAATTTGAAGATTTCCTATTCACTCTCCAGGTTCTGAAACTTCACAGTGCAACATCTTCAGTGTATGTCTTTCTCTCCCCCTCCCCCTTTTGAGAACTACTTTCACTTGTAAAACTGTCAGTCTGCTAACAGACCCCTGTATTGATCTTTTGTGGCTTTCACCTTCTTTCTCATTTTCTGTCACCTTGGATTTCCCTTTCAGGGAGATTTCTTCACCTGCTGTAACCAGTTGCTATAGAGCTGACTCCACCTCAGGGTGATCCCATGTGTGTCAGGGCAGAAGTGTGTTCCACAGGGTTTTCAATGGCTAAGTTTTCAGCAGCCTACCAGAGCGTTCTTCTGAGGCGCCTCTGGGTGGATTCTAACCACCAACTTTTTGGTTAGCAGTCAAGCACATTAACTATTTGCACTACCCGGACTCCAATCTGCATCTTACAGCCCTATTAATTTTTAAAATAATTTTAATTTCTAAAATCTCTTATGTTGATAACTCATTTCACTTCCTGTTGTTTTATTAATGTATTATCTCCAGACATCTTTTAAACCAGTTTTTACTTATAGCGTTATCTTATATCCTAAAAATTTTGAATAACATGTTTTTTAACGTTTACCTAGTGTTCAAAATATCAAAATGTACCACAGATTGTTAGCACTAGACATGATCAATCAGATATTTTCAATGTTCTGCCTAGAAGTAATGAGAAGAATGAATTAGAGTTGATTAGTTGTTGTTATGTGCTGTTGAGTCAGACCCAACTCATAGCAACCCCTCCTTGGGTTTCCAAGGCAGTATCACTACAGAAGTAGATTGCCCAACCTTCCTTCTGAGGAGTGGCTGGTGGGTTTGAATTGCCAGCCTTCTGGTTAGCAATCAAGTGCCTTAGGCACTACACCACCAGACCTCCTAGAGTTGATTAGAGACAGTAAGAAATGATGAAAGCCTTATGTACTATAGTGTGTGTGGGGGGGTGTGTGTTGAGGGGAAGTGGGGAGGCAAAAAGACTTGGTAAATGACTAGAGAGGAGGAAAGGGAAGAGATAAGTCCAGAATGATCCTCAGGTTTCTGGCTGAACAACTGTAAGAACTGACAGTTTAATTTCTCCAAATAATGATATACTTTAAATATATTTAACAGTGACTTATCTACTGTTCTAAGGTGATTAAGTTAGATCATAGCCTAAAAGGTAAGCTGAATTATTCTATATAAAAATAATTATTTTCTCCAGCCTCAAATTATTATCTTCAAATTTTTGGAGATGAATTATTATCTCCAGCTGTAATTATTTTTACAGACTCAAAGTAAGTCATTATTAACAATTAAAAAGAAGTCCAAAAGGTTCTAAAGCAACATTCGTTTTCCATGACAATATTACTAATTCAAAAGATTATTTTTATTTTTAATGAAGTAGAAACAAAGATGCCCAATCTTTATAGAGATCAATTTCCTTTCATTAAGATTAGAGAAATTTTTTTAAAAAAAAGATGAAAAATTAGCAATGAGTAAAAATTCAAGTTTCAAAATGAATAGATGAAACCCTATGGAAGAAATTTTTGTCTCAGATTATTAGCAAATGAATATTTTGAAAAAAAAGTCATTTGGCTATTATATTTTCATATTCTGAGTCTCAAAATCACTTCTGCAAGCTAATTTCCTTTTCATTAGCTAAACTGTTTACTGTTTAACCAATAATATTAAAATATACATCTAAATATATTATTTTCAATAGATACCTATTCACTTTACTCCTAAATTTTATTTAGTCATTAGGATATTTACATTTAAACACTCCAATGTAATCTATGTGCATTAAGCAAAAAGGAACTGCTTAAATAAAGAAAACAGTTATGATTTGGCTTCATAACAGTGAAGATAATTTAAAATGTGAAAAAATGAGCTCAAAAAATAGTGAAAACCACATGTCTTATTACATCTTACCACCCATCTACTTCGGGAGTCCTTATTAAAACTATTTCTTCAAATCCAACATTTACTAACTCAACAGATGGGTTTTAAAAATGAAGAACATAATTTTTCTTCCAACTTGCTGATTTTACACTTGACTGATCGCTTTAACAAAATAAATTTAGAATAAGTGAAGACCTGAATTAAACCATTCTCAACATTCTTTCCAGGAAGTTTTATTAACTGGCTTGTTTTACATATAAGTTTTAAACATGTCTACCACAGCTAATAGACAGAAATTACCTGAAAATATAAAACTCATCAAATAAACTCCCAATTTAACATCAATGCTTTTTTCTTCTCTTATAAGAATCATTACTGTGAACTCGCACGCGCTGGTGCACAGAGGATGCAATTTTCATGCTATCTTTCTTTGCAAAGGTCTTCTCTAGAGCTCCAGGTTTCCAAAGTATCAACTGTGCATCTTCTCCCCCAGTCAGCAAAGACTCATCTTGTGTATTCCAACAGAAAGAACGGACCACAGCAGCATGCCCTCCCTGAAGACTCGTCACATGGGTCAATCCTGATGTGGTACAGCTCAGTAAGTGAATCCTTCCTGTGTTTGTTCCTCCGACAACAAACAATTTGTCCATCTTTTCATGGTATAAGCCACCAATCAGATAGTCCAAAATGTTTTCTTTCACATTAATTATTTCTCTGACATCCTGGATGTCTAAGCATGTAATTGGTTCATCAGTAGCCAGATGATTAAGATCCCACCAACAAAATCCTTCATCATGTGTCATGCAGTAAATCTGTTTATAATCTTTCCCAGACCAACCAATATAGCTTACTGATGAAACGGAATTGCAAGTTGTAACCAGGGCATCCTCTTCATTATCAGCACTAATATCAAATACATTTACAAGACCATCAGTTGAACCTGAGACTACCATGTTAGGATTGCTAGGATGGAAACATACTTGAGTGACATCATCACTATGTGTCTCTGAATATGTGCCAAGTGGGTCTCTAATAGTAGACAAATCCTGAGAATTAATTCTTGCATCCCAAAATACCAACAATGCATCATCATCAACTTTTTCTGTACCAGCGCAAATGACATGATCGTTACGGTTAATATCAAAACTGATAAAAATATTGGAAGGGTAACCCTTGAACAGCTGGACAGGTTTTTCACTGGCTACTCGAGCATCCCAACATTTTATAGTGCCATCAGTACATGCTGAATATACACTGTCACAGGAATTTGCAAATCTGACTCCATTAAGAAGTCCAGGACGTCCACTAAATTCTCGTAATACTTTTAACCTTTCTTTATCATACATCCTGATTGATCCAGTAGAACATAAAACAGCAACCAAGCTTCCTTTTTCTGCTTGTACAGTCTTTGATGTGTCTATACCAAGCAGGTAAGTGCACTCCTTACTTTCTGAAGAACGTTTAACAATGTGCAGATTAGCAAACTGTTCCTCGATCTTCTCCATAGCAAGAGTAGCATACAAAGGGAGTAAAAATCTGTAAAAGAATTAAATAAATCAACTTAAACTCCAATGTTCTCTAAAATTATAATTAAATCAAGAAAAATTTCCTGAGAGCTGGCATAATACACAAGAAATAAAATTATTTTAATATTTTAGTCAATTCAAGATCATGTTATAACTAAAATTCAGTTGCTTCCTTTTAATTCACTCTTTAATACTGAGTTTACAATATACACTTTATACTAGTAAGAAAAATTAAAAACATACATATACCTTTCAGTAATTCCTTTTAGCTCAAAACCAATTATTGGTCCTAATCCCAGTTTTGAGAGCTCTGGTGGTGTAGTGCCTAAGGCACTTGACTGCTAACCAGAAGACTGGAGGTTCAAACCAGCCACTCCTCAAAATGAAGATTGGGCAATCTATTTCTGTAGTGATACCACCTTGGAAACCCAAGGAGGGGTTGCTAGGAGTCAGACACAACTTGACGGCACAAAACAACAACACAATCACAGTTCTTGGCATTGACTAGGCTTTCTGCTTGTGGACTATAATCTTCTCCTGACCCCAAATGCCTTATGAATTTAAAAAATTTAAACAGCTGTGGTAGGGAGAAAAATGGCCCCCCAAAGATTCCCATGTAATTTGTATATCTGGTTATGTGGCTAGGGGAATTAAGGTTGCTAATCAACTGACCTTAATAGTTTTATCCTAGATTATCTGTGGGTACAAGGTAATCACAAAGGTCCTTAAAAGTGGACGAGGGAAGCATAAGTCAGAAGGAGATGTTACTACAGGAGAAAGGCTCAGAAAGATACAATGATGCTGGTTGTGAAGATGACGGAAAGGGGGCCATGAGCCAAGGAACATAGGTAGCCTCTAGAAACTGGAAAAGGCAAGGAAACAGATTCTCCCCTAGAGCCTCCAGATGGAAACAAAGCCCTGCCAAGGCCTTGATTTTCGTCCTGAGACCCATTTTGGACTTCTGCCTTTCAGAAAAATAACAAATATGTGTTGTTTTAAACCACCAAGTTTGTAGAAATTTGTTACAGCAGCAATAGAAATCTAATGCAATACAGGTCCTCAGTATAAAATTCTGGAGAAGTGCTTCTCAGGTAGTAGTATGTTGCAAATGGTAGGGTTGGGATTTGTGCCTAGACATTCTAGCTTCAGAAACTGGGCTCTTAACCAGCACACTAGATTGCCCTTCCATAGCAGGTTATGTGTAGAACAAGTTCTAGTCTAGAAAAATAGCATCCTTTGTGACTCCCAAATTTTTCTAGCTTTATTTTCATTAATGAATACTCTACTCTGCCTCACATTTTTTATTAAGATAAATTGTCTGTTGCGTTAGTAGTATCTTGTTAAGCTTAAGAGGAAGTATAGGGGACTCTACTTATTTCTGTAAAATAAGAAATAAGTAGAGTCCCTTACTTACAATGAGATTCTGTTCTGATGCTTTTTCAAAAGTCAACTCTGATATAAGTTGAATATCTCATTTTTTTAAAAATTTCATTATTATTGCCTTCTATTATCAATACCTTTATAAATCTGATCTTTATTTGTCTTTGTGGGTTGGAAACACTAATATACACTTGCAAATATGACATCAAGAAATTACATGCTGCCACACTGTATGCAGTACACTGCCCCCCAAAAAAGATGGTGCTAAATGCAGTGTGTTGTAACTCAAATACGTCATAAGTCAAGAACTACCTGTTCAACTCAAGAGTTATTACGAGATACACTCCTTGGGGAGAACAATCATGGGAGAAAGAAGGGCTGTTTGTGCACAGGGAGATAGCTTAGGGGGCAGGAGTGCATGGAGTGATGGACATACGGAAGAGGTAACTATCAGGACAAAGTGGGAAGGGAGCTGTTGCACTGTGGTAAATGGTAGTCAATGTCATGAGTGTATGTGAACTGCTGTATGGAAAGTGAATTTGCTCTGTAAATTTTCACCCAAATCACAATTTAAAAAAAAAAGTTATTAAAAGGATTAACTGAAATAATGTATGTTATGTGTTCAGGACAATGTCTGGCATATTATGGTACATATTCAATAAATGTTAGGTAAAAATTACCAGCATCATCACTACCAACACCAATAATATCATGTGGGGGAAGTTTTGGATTTATTCAGAGGCTCCAAGCCACATAAACCAATGGGTAAAAATATAAAAAGTTGGATTTGTGTTCAATACAGGACTGTTGTTGTTGCTGTGTGCCATTGAGTCGGACCTGAGTCATATCGACCCCTCCTTTGGTTTCCCAGGCTGTATCACTATGGAAGTAGATTGCCCAACCTTCCTTCTGAGGAGTGGCTGGTGGGTTTGAACCACCAGCCTTCTGGTCAGCAGTCAAGGGCCTTAGGCACTATGCAGCCAGAGCTCCTAATCCAGGACTAATTACCTCTAATTTAAAATTTTGAATATTTTAAAAACATTCAAAAAAGGGAAAAGAATAGCCCACCCACTCCTTACTTACTGACTTGGTTAGGTTCTAAAGACTAGGTTGTTATGCAAAATTGGCATTATGCAAGAGTCGGAGGGGGGTGTCATCATGCCTTCCCCATCACTGGGGAGTCTGCAGGGGCTGAGAGGGTGGTGGTCACATGTTGCCTACCACCTGTCCTTTATAAGGACCCCAGTTACCCTCCACCAGCCACCTCCTGCAGCCCACCCTGGGTGAGAACTCCACTGCTCCTTCATCCTCCCCAGACTTACTACAGCCTCTTCCCGCTCCTCCACTTCCTACATCCCCTGTCAACCTCTCTGGCACCTTTGGGTCCTTACCTGGCATCCCCTTGCCCACCCATGACTTCGTGTCATCCTGCCATCACCCCATACACTCTGTGGCTGGACCAAGACCTGGTGGAAAAATGGGAGTTGATCAGTGGACAGCAGGCCACCATCCCTCGTGTGGCCTGGTTGTCACTGGGGTGTCCAGTATATCCTTTGGGATGGCCCACAGAAGGGCCTGGCCACAGCTCTGCATGGAACCCGACCATCAGAGACATTGTCTAATTTTTCAGAGTTGTCATAAATGCAAAATGTCAGATGAGGTAACAGGTGAGAAGTGAAGTACAATGAACAGCAACACATATAACCCTTCACCTCCTCAACCAATTGTTAGTTCTTGCCGTATTTGCTTTCTTTCTCTACACACACACACACAATTTTTTGAAGAACTATTTGAAAGCTAGTTGCAGATATTTTGTCTTCATTTCTAAATACATCAGCACAAGAACAACCCACCCACCAAACTTTTGCCTGTTTTGTATGATGTTGATTTATTTTTAAAGTCCTTTCAGGTTGCCTCATAAGTCCCACATACTAGATTTGCCTGATTGTTTTTTGTAACTAGATTCCAGGTTAACATTTTTGGTGGGTACAGGGGTTTAGTGGGCAAACAGTGCTTCTCATGGCATCACATGAGGGAGGCACATGATGCTAATTCTGATCACTTGCTTACAGTGTAATATTCTTCCCTTTGTAATTAGTGAGTAATCCTGAATGACACTCCGAGACTGTCTGAATAGCCTATTCTCCAACAAACTTTCATCCAACTGTTTTAGGTCTACCTCCATACAGATACTACCTTGGAAACCAAGGAGGGGTCACTATGAGTCCAGTCGACTCAATGGCAGTGAGTTTGGTTTGGTTTGTGGGTTTTTTTTTTTTTTTTGGATCTTTGCCTGACTCAATTATTACAATGGGATTTGTAAAATAGTCATTTTCTAACCCTGTTTTTTTTTTGGTCTTTTTTCTTTTTTAAACTTATCTGGAATTCCTCTACATACAGGAGCTTTTTCCTTTCTTTCTATCACTAAGAAATTATGATTTTAAAAAAATTGTGTTATCATACAGTACTGTGTTGTCAGGGATGACAAATTGATCTACAGATGGACAGATGGGTGGACAGACTGAACTAATAGGTATGTCTATGCAGGGGAGAGTGTGCCCATGACCATGTATAAGGTTGGCAGACAATGTTTCTACAAGTGTATTTGTATGTTATGTAAGAATTGCCAGGTATATAGTAGAGCTGACAAGGGACATGGTTGTAGCCACTTCTTGGCCACAGCCAGCTACCCAGAGTAGGTTTGACCCGTGGGCTTGGGACCATGGATGCAAGGGACATCAAACTCAATTGGCATAACATACTATACAAAAACACTGTTCCACATCCTACTTTGGCAAGTAGCAACTTGGATTTTAAAAGCTTGCAAGCAGCCATCCAGAAGCAATGATGGTCTCGCCTCATCCACAGCAAAGAAGAATGAAGAAAACCAAAGACACATGGAAATAATTAGTCCAAGGGAGTGGTACACCATGCGATCCTCTGCCTATATGACTATGAGACCACAAGAACTAGATGGTGCCCAGCTACCACAGTCAACCACTCAGAGGGGGATCTATGTAGGAGATCCTGGATAGAGTGGGAGAACGATGTGGAACAAAACTCAAAATCATATAAAAAAAAAAGGGGACTACGTTTGCTGGTCTGACAGCACCTGGTGGAACCCTGAGACCATGGCCCCTAGTTGCTTTTCAGGTCTGGAATTGAACCCATTCCTGTGGCTTCCAGCCAAACAAAAGACAGGCATATGAGCTGAACATTTACATTAGGCAGATACACACCTTGGAGAGATCACAAGGAGACAGCTGGGGGGGCAGGAGTGCATAGAGGGAAGGATACAGGGAAAAGATAACTATGGGGAGGAAGTGGGAGGAGAGCTGTTGCATTGTGGGAGACTGAAGTCAATGTCATGAGACAAAATGTATTTGAACTACTGTATGGAAGATGATTTTGCTCTGTAAACGTTCACCCAAATCACAATAAAATTTAAAAACTGTATTATAATTTATAATCAAATTATCCCCAATTTGACCACTGAAGAACTCTTTAAGCTCATGCTCTTTTGATATAACTCCACTAGTCTTTAAAGCTCTACATGGAAAAACTCTGTGTAAGAATCAGGGAAGTCGGAAAATGGTGAGTTTCCTTTACCATTAGTATTGAG